AATTAATGTGCCAACTCATCGGTGCTTAGGATAAGATGAGCACCGGTGCTCATTAGATCATTTTTGAGTAAGAGAGATAATGATTTGATATGTTCGATGACCATTCGAAAACTTTTAAACTTATATAGCCAATTGAAAATATTATTATGCAAAATTCAATAGTCAATTGAATTTTTAACTTTAGGTTGGGCGTCTATAGTTTAATTTTTGGTAACTAGGGTTCAATTGTGAAGTTAAACTTGTCAAATAATTGTACGTTCTCTTAACATCATCCACTCTCTAAATCTAGTGTGATGTCGTTAAACCTTGACTTTATTTACAGTTGTTGTGTTCACGTCGTGAAATTGTTGATCTTTAAATAAAAGTTCATGATTTGCCAAAATATTTTGAATTGTTCATTTTAACCCCAACAAACTTTTTTCAGCACTAATAAGCCGCGACAGAGCTTCATCAAGAGGCCATTCCAAAGGAATTAGTTGATATAATGTTGGTAGAACCATACTTGGTGTACTCCCTCATTTACACTACATGGCACTATCTTGTTTGACTGCTTTTTATAAAAAAATATATATTTTTTCATTCAATGTTTTTTGACAACAAGTGTGCACAAATGGCAAAGTCCATGTTCGTTAGACTACATAAAGATTCGTGTACTTATTATTTAAAGGTTTCAACTTTTGATGGAGCAACTATGCAACTTATTGTGCAATTGTTTCTTTTGAAATTTCAAAAATTTGCACTCCCTAACCTATTTATGTAAAAGACATGTCTAACCTGGCCTCGCTCCTCAAAATTGTTTTAAGGTTCGTCGTTTACTCAGATAAAAACTTCTCGATCAATTTTATACCAAGAAATAGATAACTTCGTAGACTTCGATCGAACTTTTTTTTTCTTTTTTATCAATTCTTCATAAAACTATAAGATTTGACTACTAATTTTGAAGAGATTGATGAGGCTACAAGACCTCGTTCCACTTGGGACTTCTCCCAAATCACCAGAGAATTCCATACTTGTTCGGTATCATATGACTGGGCCACTTGGGGTCTACTTGTCTTCTGAATTTTGTAAATGGATCAAGACATTGGTTGGCCCGACAAACCGAGCAACTTCTCTACAATTACGATACCATCGGCCCAACAATAAAGAAATAACATTTTGTTCTGGATTAATTACGCTAATGATCACTAAAATTTTAAATAATTACAATAATTATTGCTGAAATTGTTTCTTACGAAAATAGTCACTCAAATTTTCAAATGTTATACCGATCGTTCAATTATTAAATTCTACATGGACCTATTAAGTTCCAACATGTCGACAAACGACATTATTCATTACAACAAATCAACAAAATTAAGAATTAGAGATTAAGCATGTTCTGATAAGATGCATACTTATTTCTTTGTCACGAAAATATTAAACATAAATATTAACTTCAAAAAACTTCAAAACTGCAATCACAAATGCTTCAATTAAATGACCATAATAATATGGCCAAACCCTATTCCCACGTTAGTAAAATTTTCAGTTTATAGTTTTTGTATGAAATTTTGTTTACTCATAAGTGATATTTTACTTATAGATAAATTTTTTTTACATATAAGTTAATATTTAACTTTAAAAATTAAATAAAGTTAATTATTTACTTAGAATTTTAAGTTAGCATTTATTTTACAATTATACGTTAATTTCATACCTTTAAATAATCTTAAGTGAATTTTTTTATTTATAAGTAAATTTTTATATTTTATAAGTGATCTTTTATCTTATTATTAGTGTTTTTATTTTATAAAACATTTTTTTTTTTTTTTTGCGAAAAAGTAATTTTTAAACCATCCAAAACCGACTTTAATTGATAAACTCAATTAAATGTAGAATTATGAGACAAATTTAATTGAACACTTAGTGACACTTAAATTTAAATTATAATACCAATAATGCTAAATAACATTTCTCCAAGATAAAAAAACTTTCGATGTTATAGAGTTGACTAATCTCAATCACAATTGGGCATGGTTCCCCACTACCTATATTCAATCAATTTGAAACTTTAATGCATTTCGCAATCTTCTAGTTCAATTTTTTGGCATTATCGATATATCGGTGCACCACAAAATTTATACTTTCAACGTCATTCAAATGAGAATTCAAACTTTAACGCTAAGTTTGTTCTCTTTTGTTAGCACCTCCCGTCACATTATTTTAACATAACAACATATTTTTTGTAAAATTGAGGATTAATTTGATCTGAAAAATTGAGAGTATGTAATTCGTTGTGATGCATGTATATGATCTTATTTCAAAATTGATCAGCCCACTCAAAAAAAAAAAAAAAAAAAAAAAAAAAAAAAAAAATCATATTAATGAGATGTGACTGTACATCTTAGATGAATTATTGAATGGATTTCCTTCTATTTTTAATATTTTTAGGAGTGATAAGAATACACACCTATATATGTATAATGTGCCAAGTCTAAATGTTTGAGCTTGACAAATAACAAGCAAAGGTTGGTATTTGAAAACAACTATTCGAAGAGAAATGATGGCTAATTAGAAAACGATACGTTTCATGCTTAATATACGTATAATTAATATCAATAAGAGTCTTTTTGAAAATGATATTTGCATTTTTTAAATATAATTATACGTCAATGAAGTTCTCTAACTTTTTTAAAATATAAATTGTTATCTAAATAATTGATTTCCAAATTTATTTCAACATTTTAGGTCATGACAATAGCTCTGCATCAGCAAAATCCTATTATCAGCGCTATTTTCACGAGAGTTTATCCACTTGTACAGAACTGTTTCTTCTGTAAAAATGACAGAATACTCACGTGAGAGTGGACCCCATGTGAGTAAAATATTATTATAAAAAATGGGAACCACCCCCATGTGTGTATTCTGTCATTTTTACATAATTATTTTTTCTATATCTGCAGCACGGCTCTTTTCACAAACAATTGTTTCGAGATGGATTAAATAGACGTGCTTGATAATTTCAAAAGATAAATATAGTTATCATATATTTGTCCATATTGAGAGCACCTTCGACGTGACAAATTGAGCATTATTATAGGATCAATATCTTTTAGAAGGCTTCTTTAAAAAAAATAATACTAAGAAAATATACAGAGTCGAGATAGAACGCGAATATCATAATTTATGACATAATGTGAACAAAAACAATGCAAGAAGCCAACCTTTTATGTTTTCTAGTCCGAGACAGGGACCCTCTTTCAAATAAATAAATAAAAATCTTGAAGTTTCTTTTCAAAAGACGTGTGCTCTCTCCCAACAAAGCCAAAAAGGAATAAAAATGATAAAACCCGTTGAAAAAGAAAAATCCTCAATTATAGACCTCAATAGTAATAGTGGGTCCTACAATTTGAATCACACGGTGATTGAAGTAGAAATTGATGTTGACAACACTAACCAATCTTGATTTCTTGTACACAAATCTACTGCAAATTGTCAATAGCCCTCAAAAGAGAAATTTCCTAAAAAGTATACAAATCAAATCATAATTAGTTGGGTCTCCATTAATGTGTTACACGTTATCTAGATGTCCGATTTTAATCGAATGTGTTTATCGAATTCTATAAATATGAAATGACGTATTATGTGGAACTAACGATTTGAATAATATGAATTATCAAAGGGATAAAATAGCAAATGGATTTTCCTTTAGAAATTACGCCTACCTTACAATGTTCACCTTTAACGTTTTGGTGATGCTTTTGTTAGCGAATATTTTGAAGAGAACAATGGAGATTCCCATTTAAGGCAATATGCGTAATCTAGAAGCCCGATTTTAGTCTAATGTGTTCGTTGAATTTTATAAATATGAATGATGTACTACGCGAAACTAACTATTAGAACAATATGAAATATCAAAGGGATAAAATAGCATAGGGATTTTCCATTAGTAATTTACTCTACACTACCAT